ATATTTTGTCTTGTTCATTTATCTTTCACCGTGTCAAAAACCCAGTTGGAATTAGTTTACTTCTTCCCCCCTGCTTTAGAACATTAATTTGGAGTATTTTCTGTGAGAACTGTAAAGTGGCCTGCAACAAGAAAAAAAATTGAAACGTCTTTTCTGGTACTGAGTTGTCCTTCCTATATTCTCACTTCACTGTATTCTTTTGTTTGTTTGAAGATGTGAGTTATGGTAAAAGTTTACCTGTACTTTATCATTTATCCAGTATCCAATTTCGAATTTTATGTTGTTGTCTGCAATCTGCTGAGAAAAGATGTAAATAAGGATGCACCTTTACAGTTTTTTCTATTTAAGGATGTTAACTTTGTTAATTTCTAAATAAATATGCCAATTTTCAACTTTTAGGATGTCAACTTTCAACATCTGGTTAAAAAGTCTGTTTCCCATGTCAGCATCACCATCAAATAATCTTTAAATAGAAAAAGTTAAAAGTTAGTATCATTAAATAAAACACGTTGAAAGTTGATATTTTTAAATAAAAAAAATTAAATATTGGTATCTTTATTAGAAACTAACAAAATTAATATCTTTAAATAAAAAAACAATACAAAGTCGACATCTTTATTTGCATCTTTTCTTGTGATCTGCTTTGCATTTATAGACTAAGGCTGTCTATCTCTAATCATCTTTTTTTTTTCCTTAAATATGTTTAGATGCTCTTCCAGAAGGTCTTATTTATGAGCTTCCAAGGGCAGACAAAAATGATAAACTCCATGCAGCTGGATCAACAACAGATACTGCTACTGATGACCTCGAAGATCTCCGAAAGCAGCTTGATGCTCTAAATGCTGATCAATGACCAGCTCGAGTTTTCCATGTATGTCAGCTAGTTTCTGTTTGGAGTCAGGACCATATTTGAATGTTCCATTATTAGTAACCACGCCCTTCTTGGGTCAACCATAACAGGTTTTGCAGTTTTTTTTTTTTTTTTAGGTACATTTGATGATAGGTTATACAAAGGGATAGTCCTCACTTTTTTTCAAATCCCTCTTCACCTGACTTAAGGTTCAAATATGAGATCTTTAACTTGGACTCTTATGCTTTTAACTATTTGAGCCAGTGCTTTGGGGGCACAGGTTTTGCAGTTTATTGTCCACAATGATTTTCGCTTCTTTTTTTTCTCTACATATTATAAGGTTAATTAAAAAATTTATACTTCCACAGTTCATCTCAACTTTTGTACTGAATTTATACCAAGGGCATACCCCAAAGACCTCTCTACTTCATGAAAAAATCTTCTGAGAGAGGGAGAGGGAGAGGAGGGAGAAGCCCCTCTTTTTATTCTAGGATCAAAGAGCAATAATCAAGAATGTAGGAGAGTAACCATCAAGTCTAGTGTCTCATGAGACTCAACACAAATGGAGTTTCGGAACACTCAAATAGTTGATTCGTTGAAAAGATATTTTGTTATAGATCAACTCCATTAAGATTGTCTCTGATGGGAAATATGATTACACTGTCTGAGAAAAACAACCCAAGTGACAGCTGCAGAAGGAAAGCACAAAACATGGGCGCTGCGGTGGTGATTCTCATATTTGATGCTTGCGCAGGAAAATGTTATTCGTTGAGAAATTCTAGTTGTGCAAGTGATTCTGGATTCATTTGTATACGTTTATTTATGATGTTTATTGGTATATTCTAATTTCTACATAAGAAAGTTTTTTAATAAATTGATCCATTTTATTATTACTAATGTTATAGTTATAATATTACATAAAATTATAATTTTATAATGATATGTTATTAAATGGTATGACATTTTATTAAATAAGTGAATAGATATAATATAATGACTAGACTCTTACATTAAAACAACTAACTATATAACATTATATTATGTTGTAAAGTTATAATGTCATATAATATTATAATTATATCATTTTCATTTATTATTAAAAGCGATCTATTCTTAAATATCGTTGATAATAAGTAGTATTATTGAGAAATGACAACAATGATGCATAAACCAACCTTTGAGATGACTCGTTTGGTGGGTAATCAATCTCACTAGCCATGGTCGAATATGTCCAAGTCATAGAACAAGTAGATGCTAGTTTGAGACGGAGAGCATTAGAAATTAGATCGACGCACAATCAGAACACTACACGAATAAGTTACACCAATGTGTCATTAGATGTTCTCATTATGAATGGATGAAGGCATTTTATCTTTTGACTTGAAGTCATCGTATTGTCTTATGTGAAGAGTTGTGCATTTAACACTGATAAATGGATTGAGGCATCCATATATTCTAGCTGCTTCATAAAATTCATTTATCTTTGTTGATCAAAAAATTATATATTGATAGAAGAAGTCTTTGCTAGAAGATCATGAAAAATAATTATTAGGTAAACTCTAAGTCATATGAAGGGTAAGTGAGTAACCAATATATAATGCATCACTCTTGGTAACAAGAGAAATATCTTTGGCCCCTCCATTGAATTGGAAGAGCATGGAAAAGTATGTGACCACAACGAAATAAATTTCAAGATGGAATTGAGATATCATTCAGATAAGCTAAGCAAATTATGATAGAGATGACACATTCTATGCTCTAAATTTGATTGAGATATTATATTACTGATGAAAGCATTGTATTTTATGAAAATTGTTCATAAATAATTTATTGAATACTAACACTCTCATTACATTAATAAATATGATATATTTCTAAGTATTTAATAGTAAAATATTATTATTTAGCTTTTTTTGCCTAAAGCAGTTACGGTATCAGTAGTATACATAATACATGGAACTTGAGCGCAAACCTTATAATTAATCAACCCATCAAATGAAACTACACTGACCCCTATTTTGCAGCAAAACATAACACAGCTCAACATGGATATCCAATAAAATGAAGAAGAGTAGATTAGATTCTGGGTTCCAGCCCAGATGATGTAGAATGGAGGTGGGGTGGGGCCCAGGGGCAGAGATGAACGGTGGGAGGTGCAGAGTCAGTATCCACAATCATGGTCAGCCTCACTAGTGTGTCCATCCCACGTGCCGATCGGGTTGCTGAGTTAGAAAGTGGAGAGCTTTTTGTACCGTGGGTCGACAACCTAGGCCTACCATAAACCTAAAAAACCCATCTAAATTTCCTTTTTCAAATTATTAAAGCTGCTCCCCCCTACCTAAGGTCCGATCCGATAATTTACTTGTTGAATGATTTCACTCTTTATTTTATTGATTAGATTTTTTTTTATAAAAGTTAATAAAAAAATTTTTAAATAAATATTTTAAGTTTAATGTAAATAATTTTAGTTTTTATTAATTAAAAAAACTTTTAATTAAATTTTAAAAAATTAATTTATAAAAATATATAAACTGAGTTAAAAAGCTAACTAAAAAAGCTTTTTCATAACCCTAAACGCACGTGTGAGTCTAATTATTACACAACCACGCCCCTCCATCCATTCACTTCTCTTGTAAAAAGGAGGAAAAAGGAGAGGCTCAAAAGCTTGGCGGAATAAAATAAATAATTAGTAAATGAAAAAAAGTCAGATGTTTGGATAATATAAAAGTGACTAGTTACGTGATCCGTTATTTCCTTTGCTTTTTTGGCTCTTCTATAACGGACTTCGATCGTACTATTCGTTCTTTTCATACATGGTGTTACCAAAATACCCTTTGGTCTTTGATTTTATTTGGATAAGTAGATTTGAATTGCATTACAAATCCTCGTACTCATGTCTAGTGTTCAAATTCGTTCTTTTAATTTTTTGATAAATACAAAAGGATATTGTTTTAATAATAAAAACTTTTAAAAGCTCACAAAAAAAGACTTTAGCAAGGAAAAACCGTTCAAGTGTTCATATCCAATCTTACATTAATATTATTATTATGGTATTTTACAAAATATAAGAACATAATAAAAAATTGAGTATCTCACACGTCATTCTTAAAAGAATGATCAACCTTGATAACCAATTGAAAAGATAACTTGAGAAAATTGACTTCTTTTGTATTGTGCTTCTTATTTGTCAAAAAATTATCTTTATATCTAATGCTATAGACAACTAATAAACATCACACATCATATAAACTAATTAATTGTTGCAAAAGGGAGAGAAAACGAAACAACACAACCACTATATACTATATAAACCCCCAAGGCAACAACACGCAACTAGTGGAATCTTAGGATGTTGTCATCAAGGGAAGAAGACAAAGAAGGATAGGATTTTTTTTTTTTTTTGAGAGGAGAAGGAGGTCACCCTTTTAATCATCATGAGATATTTGCAATTAGTGCACAAATTAATAACTTGAACTTTTAACGATAGTCATTAAAAAAACATTCAAAACTTCTAATACTCATGTTAACCTTAACTTGACAACTTATCAGATTAGTGGAGGCTTGAGACTAAATAGTCACAATTAACATTTGAGTGGTTTCCTTAGGAGTGTGAGGTAGTTATTGTAAATCAAAAGTGTTATCTACATCCCAATGAATGAGTTGGAGATATTGGATGATGACAACAATATGGTGGGGTTTTGGCTTCCAACATTCAATTACATCATGGGTTAGTCACTCATTGTATGGTGATTGAGAACCTATACATGTATTTGCGCTGATAAATGAATGGAGGCTATGTTATTCTAATTCCACATAATTGAGAATAAATTGTAATTATAAATGATGTATAAGAAAAAATTTAACATGTACATTTTTATATGCTTATATATCAAAACATTTGTTAATATAGTTAATTATTTTATTTTTTTATTAAGCAATATCAATTAAAATTAAAAAAAAAAATCAAATCGTAAAGTCTATTTGGTTTGAAAACAAAAAATGGGTGGGAGATGGAAGATCTTTCCATCCAATAAAATTAAAACATTGGCTCAACGTTTTAATTTGATTTGATGAAATTATCTCCTCTCCCAGCATTTCCCCTAGATCAAACAAGTACTATAATATCTAGTCTATCATTAGAAAGGAAGTTCATGATATTTGATAAAGAAAGGAATTTGAGGATGTATATAAAATTGAATGTCTTGAAACTTTAAGAACAAAAATGAATGTTTGAAAGGAATATAGGCACCTGAAGTGCTATTCATAATTCCTCATGCTGAAAGGAGAAGTAAAGGGTGCATCTGTCATTCCCAGTGCTTTCTAGTTGGAGTAAGTCATTTTGCATGGGCAGCACGGGTAATTTCGTAATTTAATCAAGTGAGAGATGTTTATAGGGAGGTAAACATCTGCTGTCACTCGTCGATTTTCAACTCAACCCATTTTCTTCTGTGCTTTATCAATGGAAGACGACGATCAAAAGGAGCTGCAGCTGCTACCTTGTCCGTTCTCCATAGAATCCTCTTCAGGGCCGCCTGAATCTTCACTGAAATACCGATCGACAACAGCTGTTGATGAGTTAGGTCCGTCACTGGACTTACAGCTCTCAATTAGTCTCGAGCCGATGCAGCCACAGCAAAATTGCGCGGTATCAAGCTCCATGAGGGCAGACGCGGTGGAGGCACTGAAATGGCAAGCGGCAGAGCAAATTCGGCTGGCAGCAATTGAGAAGGCGTATGCGGAGAGAGTGAGGGAGCTGACGAAAAGGGAAATGGAGCTGGCACAGTCTGAGTTTTCGAGGGCGAGGAACATGTGGCAGCGGGTGAGGGAAGAAGTGGAGAAAGCGGAGAGAATGAAGGAGATGGCGACGAGGCAGATAGATTCTACGTGCATGGAGATCACATGTCAATCTTGCAGGCAAAGGTTCAGGCCTTGATGATATATGCTTAATTTTTTGTTTTTCTTCCTAAGAAAACTAATTAATATTCCGTGGACAAGTTGTTTGGTTTGAAGATTTGGGT